ACAACCAACCAACCAGAAAACAAAGGTGCCAGAGTAGTGTGTTTGTCGCCTATAACAATAGCATATGTATTTTAAAACAGAAATGCAGGTTCAGTCATCAATCCACTAATCAATGGAACATTTGGTTGCAGGAAAACTAGTAAAGCATACGCTAGTGAGTTCATATTGAGGAATGACATTTGTTGCTAATTAAAATTCTTAAAGCCTCCATTAATTAATGTATATTTTGCAGGCGAAGAAAGAAACATGCATGTACTAATCCCCCCAAACCCCCACCCCAAACTATTCGATATTGCATGACGGAGTTTACAAGTAGAAGCTTGAATCATTAATCCAATAATCAATGGATTGTTTGGGTGCGTGAAAACATAGCTAGCGTGTTTAGTCTGAGGAGTGACATTTGTTGCTAATTAAACCTCCTAAATTCTCCATTAATTATTGTATATTTTGTTGGGGATGGAAGAAACATGCATGAATGTTTCCCGTGTGTGTGAGAGCAGACAAGCATGACTGAGGAAAGTGCCGTAAGGTGAACAACACCTGTTCCTCTGGCTGAAGAAAACTGGTTAGATCAAATTAAGGTGGTCAGATGGTCCTAGCTGGACACTAGCCTAGTTTCCCTGAATCGTGGTCTGTTTTAGGACACTATTGAGTAGATTTGGGCACTGACCAACAGGGATCTCTGACACCCGTCAGCCACAAAATAGGCTGTTGAGGAACCAGAAGTCTTAAGGGATCAGGTCAAATATGTCATTCTGTTATTAAACAGTCCTCCTCTGAGACCTTCATTCAACTTTAGAAGACAAGCTGAGATATTTTAGATGAATCTGAGAGCTTCCCCATCCTCCAGAGACAGCAAGAGTCCCCAAATGCTCCAGAAAAGTGGTTCATTTGTAATCATACCAAGCTCCAACAACACATTAGTGCACCAAAGAATCGGCTCTGTTCAGCACAGTCTTTCATTTCTGACCAGTGTGTGTGTGTCGACTACAGGCAATAAGACACTTGCATGATGTCCTGCTGATTCTAATAGCTATACGTTGCAGTTCTTGTTGTAAATGCCCACCCTGACGACACAAAAAGTGTTCTTGGAGCTTCATATGATGACATTTGGAGAGTTTTAACAATGTTTTTGGTTAATTTTGCTCTCTATGGAAGAACAGAGAGAGCTCCTGGATTTCATCTGAAGTATCTCGGCTTGTGTTCTGAAGACGGGCATTCAGATGAATGAGAGTATTTAATAACAGAGTTTTCATTTTTTGTGTGACCTAACTTTTAAGTGAACTCGATTGCGAAGCTCGCCGCTTGTTTGATTTCCACCTACGAACAGAGCGTTACATTCACGTGTCAGGTTTGCATTGCAGCAGGGTTTGAAGAGCGACGTGTTCCATGCACTCAATCCTCTCAGCGGCTCTTTATTAGCGGACTCGCGCCCCTCTTCGGCAAACAGCCTCTTAGAGAAGCTTTGCATCCTCCATTTTCCCTTCACGCGGCTCTCGACAGCTGAAGATCTCTCTCTTGAGCGGGAACGGCCTCTGCATTAGCCCTCCTCTCTTCAAACCCTTGATGCCGTCGTCGTGCGGTCCCCCCCCACCACCTCCCCATCTCAATTTTCATCTTGAGGGTGCTTGATGTCGCTCCGACGCGTTTCTCCGAATGGCAGTTTCATTGTCACCGCGGCTGGTAATGGGTCTTGAGAGGCGGTGGATGGCAGCTCTCTCCTGCTGCCTCCATTAGCTAATGCCCTCTTCTATCAGCCCGGAGATGAAAGAACCGCAGCGCCGCGTCCACGCGTTCGGCCTCTTTTCCTGCGGCACGCAGCCTGTTGTTATGCAAACCGGTTATCAGAGAGCAGCTTCTGCTCCGCCGCTATTCACAAGCATCCTCTGCAGTGCAAACACAAAGTCTCTCTATAGCAGACATGCCACTTCTTCAGTGAAGAGAACAAACAAACATGCGCATGATGAACGTGCACGCCATCTCCGTTGTCTTTGTTGCTTTTTGTTTTGACATTTGTGTCTTGTTTCCTTGAGTTTCCCCTCCGTCTTGTTCTAAAGGTGTTTCCGCGCGTTAGCATGCGTGCATTTGTTTGTACTAACAAGCAAGCTTAGGCCCTGTTTGCACTTGGTGTTAAGATGTGTTTTGGTTGATACAGTCACGAATGGACAAAGGACAAACATTACCGTTTACATGTGCCGTTTCTTTTGTTCACTTTCGACCACTTCTCTGATGAGGGAGAGAGGGACGGAGGCCGCGGGGGTTGGATTTTTCTGATCTTTTAATGTACTTGTGCAAAAATAGTGCAGTTTTATACAGTTGAAGTCAGAATTATTTGTGCCCCTGTTTATTTTTTTCCCCCCAATTTCTGTTTAACAGAGAGCAGATTTCTTCAACACATTTCTAATCATAATAGTGTTAATAACTCATCTCTAATAACTGATTTATTTTCTCTTTGTCATGATGACAGTAAATAATATTAGACTAGATATTCTTGAAGACACTTCTATACAGCTTACAGTGACATTTAAAGGCTTTACTAGATTAATTAGTTTAACTAGGCAGGTTAGGGTAATTAGGCAAGTTATTGTATAATGATGGTTCGTTCTGTAGACTATCGAGAAAAATATAGCTCAAAGGGACTAATAATATTGTCCTTAAAATGGTGTTTAAATAATTAAGAACTGCTTTTATTCTAGCCGAAATAAAAAAATAAGACTTTCTCCAGAAGAACAAAATATTATCAGAAATACTGTGAACATTTCCTCAATCTGTTCAACATCATTTGGGAAATATTTTAAAAAAGAAAACAAATTTCAAAAGGGGTGAATAATTCTGACTTCAGCTGTATGTATACATTTTATGGATGAAAAATTCTTCATCAATAGGCTACTATATGCATTGACTGTTAAATTATAGATAATTGTTTTCTTTCTTATCGACTTATATTAGTCCTGCACACTTTATTCTGTTTTTCAGTTTTAACTTAAAAATCTTGAAACTATTTTAGGACATTGAAAGCATTTAATTTAGGTTGATATGAAGCATTATGCAAATAATCAGGAATTGATCACACAAAAAGTCCAATCAATCAAACACAAGCTTCAACCAAAGGTTTTGAGGCCTAAACTCTCATTACAGGCCTGTAATTACATTTATAAAAAATCTTAAGATTATCAACAACAACGTGTACATCAGCCTCTCCAGCCTTTGGGTTGTGAGCTGATCAGAGAGCAGGCGGTGTTTAGCAGCTGTTCAACACATTCAGCCACATTCAACCCAGGATCATTGGGAATATGTGCCCAGGGCTACGTTTTTGAAAACCTTGAAAAACAATGTTGTCCTTGCAGCTTGTGTTGACAAATCCAACAGAGGCCACTATCTCTACATTTTTTGCGTACGTGCGTGAGCTGCTGGCTGGCGTGTTATGCATATATAACACCTTTCTTTCCCTAAACCCAACCGATAGTGTTTTCTGAAGGAAACGAGAATAGAAAAGTGGCCTTGTGGTTTCACCACAATTTTACATTGCTTTTTTTTGCCTGTTTCTGAAAAACAAACTTCCAAAGTCCCAAAGTGAAACAACATACAAGACAAGCTACCGCGCACACTGACTGTACAGGAAAACACATCCTTACGGAAATAAGCAAGCGAGGCGGACACATTCGATTACGCATCACAGACACAATTGAGTTGTGTTTGATATTTATTTATATTTTTTCGATTATTTATTCTGTGCCACTCTGAATAGCAGTGTGTGGCTCCAGGGGTGTAGGAGTTACATATTTACTTGAACTGTTACTACAGTAAACTGTGGTATATTGTAGTATAATATACCCTAAAGTTCAAAGGTCTTTTAATTATATTACTATAGTTGTTGTGTTACCATAGCAACTGTAGAATCACCACACCAGATCACTTATTATAGTCGTTGTGTTACCGTAGCGACTGTAAAATCACCACAACACATCACTTGCTATAGTTGTTGTGTTACCATAGCAACTGTAGAATCACCACACCAGATCACTTATTATAGTTGTTGTGTTACCGTAGAGACTGTAGAATCACCACAACACATCACTTAATATAGTTGTTGTGTTACCGTAGCGACTGTAAAATCACCACAACAGATCAACTACTATAGTTGTAATACTATAGCAACTATATAATCACCTCAACAGATTAATTACTGTAGTTGTGTTAGCATAGCAACTGTAGAATCACCATAACAGATCAATTACTATAGTTGGTGTGTTACCATAGCAACTGGAGAATCACCACAACAGATTAATTACTATAGTTGGTGTGTTACCATAGCAACTGCAGAATCACCTCAACAGATTAGTTACTGTTGTTGTTGTGTTACCATAGCAACTGTAAAATCACTACAACAGAACAATTACTATATTTGTTGTGTTACCATAGCAACTGTAGAATCATCACAACGGAACAATTACGATAGTCGTTGTGTTGCCATAGCAACTATAATATCACCACAACCGATCAATTACTGTAGTCCACCCAGTATTTCCCTGTGAAGGTCAAGGGTGCTAACAAAATTGTTGGCATCATGACACACCATAGCACTCATTTTACCCAGAAACTGCAGGCAAACGTAGTCTGAAGCACGTAATTTCAGTTTCCCAAAAAAAGCATCTCTGGGCACGTATTTCCAATGAGACTGTGTTACCATTACAGCCGTCTGGTCGAATGTGTTTCTGACTACCTCTGGAAGTGGTTAAAAGTGGACAAGCTCAAAACGCACTTACTTTAGCAGCACATTCATATAAGCACTTAGCATTGTGATCGCATCAACAAAACCACATCTCATCCCCAGCGCTGAGCAGGGCCTGAGAGATGGAGTGGGAGCGAACTCTCATTTCAGACTGTGCTTCTGCTGCCTTCTCCTTTTAGTTCCGGTAGTGAGCGATCACCACATTTGCTTGTTTTTTTGTTTTAACGTCAGCTAGTATGATTTATCCCCGTCCCCTTTTCCTTTGCAGGTTCAGCCACATCGGTTTACCCCAGTAACCTCCATTTGTCAAGTTAGTCGTTCTTGTTTCTACATATGCCACTGTGTCTGTTCATTTCCTTCAATTCCTCTTTGGATTGACTCATTTATTTCCCGCGTCCATCGCTTTTGCGCAGGAGGCATCCTTTAGACTCATCGCCAGCTCAAACTTTAATCAATCCTTTAATATATGTCCGTTCTACTCTGTTCCATCTTCCCCACCATGTTTTTTCCCGCCATGTTTAACGCTTGCGGATGAATAACATTCTCCTCTTCATTAGGAATGCTCTGTGCGGCTTCTTGTGTCCATTTTCTTTGAGCATGTGCTGCTTGGTTCAACCATACAGGCCGAAAGTAAAGCTCACATCCTCCATTCTCTGTGATGCTCATGTGTCGGTGTGTGAGTGTGTGTGTGTGTGTGTGTGTTAATGATGGATCTGTTTGTCTTCTGTCCGCAGGGATGGCCAGTCACCCTCCAATCCCAGTCATGGAGCTGGCCGATCACATCGAGCGCCTGAAAGCTAACGACAACTTGAAGTTTTCACAGGAATATGAGGTAACCGCTGTTTTTTTTTTCTTACTCTGTGCAGGAATAAGCTGTGTTTGGGTTTGGGGTGGGGCTGAGGGGTAAAAGTTGTGAAGTATCTCAACCAGAGACGCCCAAAGTAGGGGCTGTAAAGCTGGCCCATTGTAAGCTTTGATTTGTCCCACCGTCGCATCTGAGGAGAATGAAATGATGGAGAGGGTAGGGGTGAATGCCTTCAACACGGATATCATTTCTAGTTTGAAGTAACCTTTTTTTTTTGTTTGTTTATTTCATTTGGAGCAAACTGAAATCAAATGTTTAGATTAAATGTTGTAAATGAATCTTATGTTATTTTAAAATGTAAATACAGTCACTCGACAGATAGTGAACTATGCAGAAGACATCGGTGAGCAAATCAAGGCAAAAACTAGTGTAATTCTGTTAAATTAAATTTAAGTTTAATTAAAATTAAATGTTTTTACTGTAATAAGTTAGCCTCTGGGTCGCTGGTTCGAGCCTCGGCTCAGTTGGCGTTTCTGTGTGGAGTTTGCATGTTCTCCCTATGTTCGCGTGGGTTTCCTCCGGGTGCTCCGGTTTCCCCCACAGTCCAAACACATGTGGTACAGGTGAATTGGGTAGGCTAAATTGTCCTTAGTGTATGAGTGTGTGTGTGGATGTTTCCCAGAGATGGGTTGCGGCTGGAAGGGCATCCGCTGTGTAAATATGTGCTGGATAAGTTGGTGGTTCATTCCACTGTGGCGACCCTGGATTAATAATGAGACTAAGTCGACAAGAAAATGAATGAATGAATAAATATAATAAGTTAATATATAAATAACTATATTAGTTGATATAAGGCAATGTTTAGTAGTCATTGTTAAACATTATTAAATATATTAGGAAATTACCCATGGCAAATATTTACCTTCCGCCCATTAGCCTCAATCAAATTTGGTTTTTTGCCCTTCATAAGAAAAAGTTTGGGCACCCCGATCTAAACTATAAACGTCCCCCGTCTATTACAATGTTTCCTGGTTATTAATGCATATATTTAATTTCCTGAGCTCAAAACAAACCTCTGTGTTTTTCATTTTTACCATTGCTTACTTCAAGCCAATCACTAAGTTGTTCAGATACATTCAAAAATCACCATACCATAGCAACTGTAGAATCACCACAACAGATCAATAACTGTAGTTGTTGAGTTACCATAGCAACTGTAGAATCACCACAACAGATCAGTTACTGTAGTTGTTGTGTTACCATAGCAACTGTAGAATCACCACAACAGATCAATTACTGTAGTTGTTGAGTTACCATAGCAACTGTAGAATCACCACAACAGATCAATTACTGTAGTTGTTGTGTTACCATAGCAACTGTAGAATCACCACAACAGATCAATTACTGTAGTTGTTGAGTTACCATAGCAACTGTAGAATCACCACAACAGATCAATTACTGTAGTTGTTGTGTTACCATAGCAACTGTAAAATCACCACAACAGAAAGCTTTTTGCTATAGTTTGGCTCAAAATGCTATAGTATAGGTTAGTATGTGGGATTATGCTGTGCTAGAGCATTGCCGGTTTACTACATGTACTGTAAATGTAGCACTAGCTGGAAAATATTAGCTAGCTGAAAAAAAACGCCGCTAGGCTATTAGCTGATCTTCTGCAGCACGCTGCTCTCCAGCACTGGGGTGTTTTGGAGCGGTGTGTGCCGTCGGTTTGAGCTCATTGTGTTTTTCTGAGGTCATTCGGTGGCGTTTGGCCAAGACTCCTGCCAGATCTGAGCTCCAGCGCTGGGGATTGTCATTCTGGGCCAGTTTTGCATGGGCACAGAAAGTAATTTGAGCAGCACAATGAAGCGGGCGACTTCACAAGCAGTGTTTCAGCGGATCTGGGCAGAATGACGCGGCTTAACCGGAGATTTGTCATCTTTAGTGACGCTTTATGGCGCGGCAGGCGACTCGGCCTGACAGAAAAATACCAGCACTGTCAATTGATGGTTTTTTCATGTGGTGTTTGTTGCAGAGGCTACACAAACACGCTTTACAGCAGAACGGCAGTGTGGAGAATGTGGAAGATCTGCTTCTGCTGTTGACAATCTCACAGCGTTTATCTTCTGCTAGTTTGTCCAAGTGGCTCTGCAATTTGTCTGCATACATTCATTCATTCATTCATTCATTCATTTTTGTTTGTTCATTTATTTATTCCTTTACTCGATTATTCATTTAATATTTTGTTATTGTGTTGTTAGTTTGTTTATTCATGAGGTTTTTCATTTATGTTTATGTTCATTCATTCATTCATTTTCATTCATTGTAGTTGTTCATTTATTTTTATTTTAATTCCCATGCATTCGCTCATTCATTCATTAATGCAATGTGAATGCATTTTTTGTTCATTTGGTCATTCATTGATAATTTTTTGCCCTTTGCTTATTGATTAATTTTTGTCTCATGCATTAGTTTATCTTTTCATTCATTAGATTTTTCAATTATTCATTCATTCATTTATTCATTCATTTATTCATTCGTTTTATTCATTTATTTAATAATTTATTCTCATGAATTTATTAATTTGCTTTTAAACTTTTTTGTTAGTTCGTTAATGTGATCATTCCTTCGTTCGTTTGTTTTCATTTATTCATTTTATTTTTCCATATTTTTGTTCATCCATTCATTAACTTTACTCAATCATTTATTAATTGTCATGCATTTGTTCATTTACTCAGATTTTTCATTCATTTATTCATCCCTGCATTGATTTGTTGGTCATTCATTTATTTTTCCTGTCATTACATTATTAAATAATTTATTCATGTGTTCATTTGTTTTAGTTGTTTACATAATAATTAATAAATTCTCATAAATTCATATATTTACTCATTCATTTTTTGTTTTTTTTATTAATGCCTTTATGTTAGTTTGTTTATACCTTAATTAATTTTGTGTTCATTCATTCATTCATTCATTCATTCATTCATTCATTCATTCATCCATTCATCCATTCATCCATTCAATTATCCACCCATCCATCCACTGTTTCAACAGATCTGGGCAGCATTATGTATTTTTTTTCTTTTTTCTTTTTACATTCAGTCATGCATTCATTCATTTATGCAGTGTTAAAACAAATCTGGCAGGATGATCCAGCTTAACCAGAATTTTTTTATTTTATTTTTTTAAATTAATTAATTGATTTTCTAATTCATTATTTTATTCTGCGTTTAAACCAACCTGAGTAGAAGGGTGCAGCTTAAGCAGTTTTATTATTTATTTATTAATTTATATATTCATTCATTTCATTCATTTGTTCATTCATTCACTTTTTCAGTTTATCTGGGCAGAATTACATGGCAGATTTCATGGCAGATCCATAACCGGATTTTGTTTAAATGATTCAATATTCATTCATTCATTCATTCATTCATTCATGCATGCAGTGTTTCAGCGTAACAGATCTTGGCAGAAGGACACATTTTAATCAGTTTTTTTTTTTCATTTCTTCTTTCATTTATTCATTGAAATATTTCATTCATTCATTCATTCATTAATTCATTCATTCATGCAATAATTCCATCATTATTATTTTTGTTTATTTATTAATTTTTATTCATTAGATTTGTCATTTGTTCATTTTAGTCATTAATTATTAACTGTCATGCATTTATTATTATTATTACTTCAGGCATTAGAATATTCATTCATTCATTTTAGTAGTTCATTTATTATTATTTAGTCTCATGCATTTATTTGCTCACTATTTTTCATTCATTCGTTCGTTCGTTCGTTCGTTCGTTCGTTCGTTCGTTCGTTCGTTCGTTCATTCATTCATTCATACATTCATTCATTCATTGATTTTAGTTGTCCATTTATCAATTTATTCATTTCCATGCATTCTTTTGTTCATTATTTTTTCATTCATTCTTTGACTTATTGATTGATTGATTAATTAATTCATTCATTCATTCTTTCATGCATGCATTCCTTTAACATATTAAGGCAGATTGACATCTTTGGTGACGCTTTATGGCGACTCGTCCTGACAGAAAAGTACCAGCACTGTGAATTTAGTGTTTTCATCATGTGGTGTTTGTTGCAGAGGTTACACAAACACGCTTTACAGCAGAACGGCAGTGTGGAGAATGTGGAAGATCTGCTTCTGCTGTTGACAATCTCACAGCGTTTATCTTGTGCTAGTTTGACTGTCATTTGTCCAAGTGGCTCTGCGATTTGTTTGCCGTCGCCTGCTCTCGTCTGAAAGGGCACATCAGTGGACAAAAGCGTCGTTTGAAAGGGAGCACATCTCTGCGTGATCCTTTAAAATCTATTCAAGGCATGAAGACATTACTTTCCCCCTCTTCGCTTACGGGACCAATTTTCATTCATTCAACGCTCCTCTGAAAACTGTAATTTGAAATTTGTCAACGCGGAGAGCTGGCTCGCAGGCAGATGCGTAT